AACGATAGCAAAAGTCATTAAATAAAATTAAATAATTTGGAATAATAGATAAGGGTCAAAAGTTGTTACTGGTTGTCATTTTAATACCGTGAAGTTAGTCGAAGTTGGGCGCTTTGCAACCAATTTCATAATGTTGCTTTTTGGCTGTCGGTGTGCGCGGGCATCGTAAAAATTTAACTCTCATAATTTTTACCAAGCGCGCCAAGAGACGTACCTATAACTTCAAAAATATATTTTGACTTCTATGAGAAAATAGTTATTTACTCGGGCGTTATTAATTTAATCATAGGCTTTTCTTGAATTGGTTTGAAATACCAGTGGAACTGTTTGTATTTCTACCATCAACCATCTCCTATGAATGAGACGGGAGTCAATATTGCCTTATAGATTTCTAAATGACAATAAATCGACAATTGTCGCAAGTCTGTACCGTCAGTGGTCGTGGCAGCAGCGAGTAAAACGTTGAAAATTCAATTTCCAGTGGCTTATTGTTGTCACAGACGCCATTGTTAAGGGACCGTGATAGCATAGCCCTCTTTACAGAGCGTCGGTTAAACTGACAACCGCCCCACGATGTGTATAACTGCTATCCATTTAGATTTAACTTCCTGGACCGGGCGGGCTTTATCTGTAAACGAAGTTTACATGCATGACACGTGTTAATGTGGTGGGGGGCGTTCTGATATGTATAAACACTTGAATACGAGGGTCTTAAATTCAAATACTAACACTTATTACAACATTCTTTCCAACAACGGGTTAACATTCTTCATGTAATAATGGAACATAATTATGTTACATTTATTATAGGTTATGTTTCCGACTCCCGCTGATGAGCGTTCATGAGATCATTTCTGTTTTTGAATATTTTATTGTAATTTATTTAATCGCTCAATAATCACTGACATGTTTATGTCTGGTGTAAATATTAGATCGTAATCTATGGATAAAATAGATAGTAATCTTTAAAGTGGAATGTGCATTGCAATAGTTCACTTACAGTTACTTAATGCCCACTATATTATCAACCACTTGCGACCGCGAAAACGGTTACGACGCATATATCGGTACTGTGAAACTTTGTTTATTAGTGCGATTGTACACACTGCATTTTGCATGTCCGGTGAGTAAGGGCCCACTTTATTAAATGGTGGCAACGCATTGCACCTGTTCATGAGCGGCGGTTATCACTTAACATCGGGTGAATCGCCAGCTCGTTTGCCACTTTCTCACATAAAACAATAAAAAAAACGTAGAACGTCGGTAGTACTACGAAAAACGTACACCGTTCATACGCTTAAACGAACACTCGCCGATTTGTCAAATCGAATGAAAATAAATAAAAATATAAATGAAATAATGAATCTAACATAGTGGTTTGCTATTTACGTGCCTAAGAATGAGGTGCCAAGATTGCGGGCCACTTCCGAATGGAGGCACAAGGTGACAGGAACAAACAATAAACCTTTATTGTGTTGGTTTATCATGTTGACCGTCCGTCTGTCAGTAAAGCTACCCGATGTCGGACTTCAAACTTGCCTGCGGCGTTCGGACAAAGTATCCAAATATTTTACGTTAAGCCTTTTCCGGTAGATGGCGCTATATTGAAGTCTCGCTGTTTTTTCATAGAGAAGGAAGGGACGGACCACCCATAGGCTTATTTGATACGAAGGCGGCTGTTTCATCGCGACAGAAAAGTTTACTCCTCAAAAATATGAATAACTTTCTTTATTAGTTGTTTATAAAGTATGTTTCCAAAATAATACATAAGCTAACTATATAACAGTTAACAAACCTAATCCATTCGGTATAATATACCAAGAACACCAGCTGCATTTCCTGGTTGAGTATTTACACTTAACTTGCAGCAACACCGAGCCGAGGATAACTCCTACAAAAACGTTTTTGTGCTGGTTAAAATTTAAAAATTGATTGTGGTTTTGTCCGCCATTTAATAAGAATTCTATATCAAGACTAATCTCTTTCTTGATTTAATACCAAAACGTAATGGTCAGGCATTATCCGTTCTTAAGCTCTTAAAAGATATATTTTTATTAACATCAATGACACATCGACATACAGCACACTTAAAGTAAAAATCGGGGCTTATTAACTCAAAATGAGTTAAAATGTGTGCGATAATTACTTATTCTTAGTCTGCTGCTAAATATTGTATCTTACAGTACAAAGATATGTATAAACACTTGAATACGAGGGTCGTAAATTCAAATACTAACACTTATTACAACATTCTTTCCAACAACGGGTTAACACTCTACATGTAATAATGGAACATAATCATGTTAGATTTATTAAAGGTTATGTTTCCGACTCCCGGTGATGAGCGTTCACGAGATCATTTCTGTTTTTGAATATTTCATTATAATTTATTTAATCGCTCAATAATCACTGACATGTTTATGTCTGGTGTAAATATTAGATCGTAATCTATGGATAAAATAGATAGTAATCTTTAAAGTGGAATGTGCATTGCAATAGTTCACTTACAGTTACTTAATGCCCACTATATTATCAACCACTTGCGACCGCGAAAACGGTTACGACGCATATATCGGTACTGTGAAACTTTGTTTATTAGTGCGATTGTACACACTGCATTTTGCATGTCCGGGTGAGTAAGGGCCCACTTTATTAAATGGTGGCAACGCATTGCACCTGTTCATGAGCGGCGGTTATCACTTAACATCGGGTGAATCGCCAGCTCGTTTGCCACTTTCTCACATAAAACAATAAAAAAAACGTAGAACGTCGGTAGTACTACGAAAAAACGTACACCGTTCATACGCTTAAACGAACACTCGCCGATTTGTCAAATCGAATGAAAATAAATAAAAATATAAATGAAATAATGAATCTAACATAGTGGTTTGCTATTTACGTGCCTAAGAATGAGGTGCCAAGATTGCGGGCCACTTCCGAATGGAGGCACAAGGTGACAGGAACAAACAATAAACCTTTATTGTGTTGGTTTATCATGTTGACCGTCCGTCTGTCAGTAAAGCTACCCGATGTCGGACTTCAAACTTGCCTGCGGCGTTCGGACAAAGTATCCAAATATTTTACGTTAAGCCTTTTCCGGTAGATGGCGCTATATTGAAGTCTCGCTGTTTTTCATAGAGAAGGAAGGGACGGACCACCCATAGGCTTATTTGATACGAAGGCGGCTGTTTCATCGCGACAGAAAAGTTTACTCCTCAAAAATATGAATAACTTTCTTAATTAGTTGTTTATAAAGAATGTTTACAAGATAGTACATAAGCTAACTATATAACAGTTAACAAACCTAATCCATTCGGTATAATATACCAAGAACACCAGCTGCATTTCCTGGTTGAGTATTTATTCTTAACTTGCAGCAACACCGAGCCGAGGATATAACTCCCACAAAAACGTTTTTGTGCTGGTTAAAATTTAAAAATTGAATGTGGTTTTGTCCGCCATTTAATAAGAATTCTATATCAAGACTAATCTCTTTCTTGATTTAATAACAAAACGTAATGGGCAGGCATTATCCGTTCTTAAGCTCTTAAAAGATATATTATTATTAACATCAATGACACATCGACATGCAGCACACTTAAAGTAAAAATCGGGGCTTATTAACTCAAAATGAGTTAAAATGTGTGCGATAATTACTTATTCTTAGTCTGCTGCTAAATATTGTATCTTACAGTACAAAGATATACAAGAAATATGAAAAAGAGAAAAGCGCGCTGGCGTTCTGGAAAAATCTCTTAGACTCTGTAGACGACAACTCAATTTGCCGGATCTCGGAACTATCTCTTACACCTCGATGGCTATCGCGTAGCTGCTACGAGCTTGCCTTTACTTGAATGCGATATTTTTATACATTTTGAGAAAACTCGGAGCAATGACATAATATTAGCGAAACTACAAAAGTTCTGTAGTCCTTTGAAATATTAAACTTATCCGCAAAAGCTTCGATCCTACCTATTGCTTCGAAATACGGCTGAGTTATAAGTAATAATTATAATAAATAATACAGATCATATTTTACACATACGCTTCTAATCCCAAACTAAGCAAAGCTTGTAATATAAGAACTAGGCATATGATAAACATATTTAAACATACTTTTATTTAGTAAATAAATACTTGGATATTGATATGTAAAAACCCAGAGACTAGAAAAGCACTATGTTCATCACAGAATATTTTTTCAGTAATGAAGATCAAACCCTCACCCTGGAGTGTAAGAGAAAAGTTCACTATCGGGCTTTCAGCTATGGATTCAGGCTATCGCTAGCTTAGTCAATAAGGGTCAACGTGTTTACGTAAGTAATTCCGCCTTGGAAAACTAACTACTATCCGTCAATACTTGGTATTATAATCTCGATGTAAGCTCTATCGCCTCAAACGTTTCATCATCATCATCATCATCATTTCAGCCTGTTTGAGTCCACTGCTGAACATAGGCCTCCCCCACAGACTGCCATGAAGTACGATCCTGAGCCAACTGCATCCATCGACTTCCCGCACATTTGCACAGGTCGTCACTCCATCTAGTGGGGGGTCGTCCTACACTGCGATGGCCAGTACGAGGCTGCCACTCGAGAACCTTTCTTCCCCAACGGTTATCGCTTCTACAAGCTATATGGCCGGCCCATCGCCACTTCAGCTTGCTAAACGTTTAATAAAAATTATTTTATTAAAAGCACCGAAACAAGTGCCTGTTCAGAATTAGCTATATTTACACGCGCAAATACGGGCAGACGCGTAAACGGCCAAAAACTGACTAAAACATTATCTTATTTTATTTATTATGTTTAATTTTATTTATTTATTAGATTTTAAAAATTATAGATAAATATCATAATACTAAAAGCTAAAGTTAATCGCTGATAGAAGTAATGAAGCATTGTCTATGATTAGTTGACGCACGTCATTTCGAAAGCACACGGGAGAAATTACAGCGATATTTTCCTTCAGCCAACCACCGTGATACAGAAGCATCCAGCATGTGTCTACGGTTCTGCGAATTCTGGACCTGGCGTGTGGTCACCGCCGCAATCGCTTGTGTTTCCGTGATGGTGTCTTTTATATTAGGACCTATACAGACTCTTGTTTACTTGACGGGTAATTACGCCTACACATTGAAATTTTTTGATATACAATATAACGAAAAGAATCTCGAAACTGGAACTAGATTAGCCTCCGGTCAACATCCTAAAACCTGTTAAATCATACAATTACATAATGACTGTGAAACCTCAGTCAACGATATCATAAACAAATACGAAGTAGGTAAAACGCTATCGCGTCAAGAAACTGAGCATATCAAATTACGGAAATTATTGTTATTGATTAGTCAGCCTCCTATTGGCCATAGCAGTGTAGGACGATCCCCCACTAGATGTGATAGAGTGGCGTCTGTGCAAATTTGCGGGAAGTTGATGGATGCAGGTGGCTCAGGATCGTATTTCGTGGCAGTCTATGGGGAAGGCCTCAGCAGTGGACTCAAACAGGCTGAAATGATGATCATGATGACGATTAGTCTGCTAACTCTCTCCATCATACGTTCTACATCCGATCCATAGACATACGTCTTTTTTATTAAAAGTAATCTTTTTTTTATGCGAAAACTTGCCAAACGAGCAGACGGTTCACCTGATGGTAAGTAAATACCGCCGCCCATGGACATCTGCTACACCCGAGGTTACAGATGCGTTGACAACCTTTTGAAAGTTGGGCCCTATAATCTATATTAAAACATCATTGCATACGATATGACAAAAACATGAAGCTGGAGCAGATTAGCCACTGGTCAATCTTAAACCTCTCGTTAAATCATTTATTTACAAATTATTAGTGGAAACTCAGTGTAATGGATTGAAAGAATGATGTCAATGAATGTTTACATGCTTTTAATAACACTAATATGATGCATTGCTGTCTTGACGTCATGCTTTCTTAAAGCATTGTGCGTATTCAAACGTGTGATTTATGTAGGACTTAGACACGATGGACCCACCGCCGGGGGTCCCGCCGGATAACACTACACCCACAGTTAGTGTAACAACAATCACACCAGTTCGCCCTCGCCTCCGAGCACGGCGAGACCCACACAACGCGTACACAAGGTACACCCGCGTTCCGGGGCGGTTCTCACCGCTCCCAAACCACCGATTAGCTAAATGCACAGTCGACGGCCGTCGGGGTCTCGGTCCGAACCGGCGACCTCGACGGCCCTTAGATGACACACCATAGTAGTTAAACGCACGCATGAGCACATGCGCGACCCTACCCATAGCGGAGGGTCCAAACCCGTGGGTTCTGGCTAGCCCACCGTTCTGCGTCCGATGAAGCTTTAATAGTCTCGGGACTGAAAGCAAAAACATCAGTTAATACAAGATACAAGAAGTGATTTATGTCACATCATTTAATAGAAATTACAAAGATAAGACTGATAAAATTTCCAGCAATGCCCATTCGTGGAGAAAGCGGGACCATCATCTGGGACTATACGCGTTTCAGACCAGCGCTCGGCGATGGCGCAGCTGTACAAGACAGAGCCACACGTAGCGGCCATCCTCTGGCTGGTTGCCGGCCTCATGTGGCTACTGCTAGTCGCCAGCGGCCTCCTGCTCGGTGGCTGTCTACTCAACAGCGCAAAGCTGGTCACAGCGTTCGTGAACATGACGTACGGCCACCTGAGCATTGTTCTCTCGATGTGCGTGAAGTACGCCATCGTCTGTGGCTTCATGGACAAGAGGTGCTTCGACCACTCGCCGGCCAGGCGCGGCGACGACTCCCTCGCCCCCGTGGGCATCGCCCTCGCGTTCCTGGTCTACGCCGTGGTTTGTTTCGCCGCAGTGTCCGTCGCGCTTAAGTACAAATCTACCTTGGTGTGCCGCTCGTTTCATTCCCCCCCTCCCTTTTTATTTTGCCAAGAATGTGAATACATTTAGATAGTTACCCGAGTATTAAACTCGGACTGTTGTCGTCTATGCATAGGACGTGAGAACAATGTCCGCCACGCTTCATTTCGCTTTGGCAGACTTGACACGTCTTTGAAACTTGTTTTTATTATATCTTAGATGTGCGGGTTACCTTACGATTTTTTCCTTTGCCGTCGAGCTATTATGGTAAAACGGAGGATTAATAACTTCATTAGTGCAGGTTGATTTCAAGTTAGTTTGCTCGAATATAGCGAACTAAAAAGCGAGCAACTGGACCATTACACAGCTGTCTTTTAATTTCTATTATCAAATTTCACCTTTATAACGTGTATATGTGTAAAACTTAAAACGTGTTGCCGATTACAAACATTGACAGCTTAAATAACTCGTTCACTCATTTCGTTGCTAAACTTTTTCTTGTTTATTTAAGCGTTCAAACAATCATAATATTCAAAAACACATTCCCAAAATGAAAAAGTTTATTCTAAAAATTTATTCTTACGGTGGTAGGGCCACGCAACAGTGTTCGCTGTTGCACGAATGGGTAGGTCCGTCCGGGTTAGTACCACGATCTCACAGAAGACCGGCGTAAAGTATAAGTGTTGCACTTCTGCGTTTCGTCTGGTGAGTGAGGTAGCCGGGGCCCACACAAGAGGTGGCAACGCATCTGCAACCCTTCGAATGTTGCAAATGTCCATGGGCAGGCGGTTATCACTTAACATCAGGTGAACCGCCAGCTCGTTTGCCACTTCCTCACATAAAAAAAAAATACCTCAAAGTTAGGAGATACGTTACCAAACTTTAAAAGCGTGACTACCTCACTCTGGAACTCTGCGCCCGAACACTGAGCTAACACGGCTCTATTGACGTCCTGACACTTCCCAAATATGGATTCAAAAAACTCGTGTAAAAATACACAAAAGAAGAACACTGGTCAAAGATATTAAAAAGGTGTTTTTCTTTGACATTGTTGTGTTTGTCCTCATTTGATGTGTGGGTGTCTGACGTGCAATACTGAATATCTTATCCTAAAGTGGCTGTGGTTAAAAATATCCAATGACGTGTTACGTGGGCGCATTTTAATTTAGTGATAATTTAACTTTAGTGCTACTATTTCATTATTTTTGCCAATTTTTTTGCATAAATATAATTTTGCAAATAGCTTAGAACGCGTAACAATAGCGTTACACGTAATAATATAAAATAAATCAATCCTTTGGACAATCATTTTTTTTTAACATTAGGTACCTTTACTTACATCAGAGCAACTGCTGAGTTTCTTGCCGGTTTCTTCTCAACAGAAACTGCTTTCCGAACCGGTGGTAACTTACGAACGTATTAATTTTAATGTAAAATTTTTGACATTTTTTAAGAACGCGCAAGCGTCTATGTGAATAAATATATTTTTGATTTTGATTTTTATTTGATCTTTTAGTAGATAAAATGTCTTTCTGTAGATTTCAGATTTACTGTACCACATTTTAGTAGATTAAACGCTCTGATTCTTTATGTAGAGGTCTGATTTAAATGCTATATAATGTAATGGAGTCGGAAGATTGCTTGGCAGTTGATAAAGGAGAAGCTAAATATAGAGGCGGCTAGCAATGGAATAATCCGCACAGATAACTGAAATACTGACGGTTGAATTTGTTAAATACTAATTGAGGCATCCCCAGGTCGGAGCGGAGGGACCAACTGCGCATTCTTACGGCCGGAAAAGCCACGGCTGGATGGAATTATATAAATGTAGATTGACTGAATGAATTTACTGATTTATTTGCTTGTTTTTTTTTTTTAATAACACCAATTTTCGGCACGCACGTTTGTTACTTGTTATCTGAGGGTAATACAAATTGATTTCCTGGGACCTGATGGGTTAAACGCGAAAGGAAATGCGTATAATAAACAACAAAAAAAAAACGAATGTTGTCAACACACTTTATTTGAACCGTGATATCCGGGTAGCAGTATCCGGGCGCTCGCTATAAATTTATTATACTCGAGCGTTAACATTTTAATTACAGTTTTAAGTTCTAATTTATCCTGCGTTCAAAGAACATCGTGAGGAAATCCTCTCCAACAAAAAATGTATATGTAAATGTAATGATTATACCTCATTTAATTTAAATACATGGTACTTTATGCCAAATAACCTAGTACTGTTGTAACGTTTGAACACACAAAAAAAGACAAACGCCCAGAGAAATATCAAATAACTTAAAAAACCTATTTTTATTGAGGAGATGGCACCTATTGTTAAGAAGCGGTCACGGCTTCCCATGGAAAACTGTGACACCATTTCTGGTGAGTGAGGTAGCCGGAGCCCAATTTTCAAAGGTTGTCAACGCATCTGTAACCCTCGGGTGTGGCAGATGTCCATGGGCGGCGGTATTCACTTAACATCAGGTGAACCGTCAGCACGTTTGGCAAATTTTCACATAAAAAAAAACCATATGCTGCAAAATAAGGTCTTAGCGCAAGTCCCTAAATCGCATTGGTCCGAAACACCCGTTGTCGATAACTTCCAAATAGACTTACCAAAGCCACCGTACGCGGCGGATATTTTAGCGAAAATCTTAAGTCGCCTCGTTGTGTAGCAGTGCTATTTTTTACCGACTACATATGAGGAGGTTCTCAATTCGTATATTATCATCGTTTATTTTTTTATGTTTGTTACCTTACAACTTTTTACTTAGTGAAGTAAAGAGTTCTTTTTTTGCTTGAAAGCTGGCGCTTCCCAATGTGGTCGCATATTAATTTATCAACTATAAAATGAATATAAAGCGAAATATCGTGTATATTTTGTTTTTCGTTAGTAAAAAAATTGCTTGTTTAGAACCGTCGCGTTGGAAAGCCAGCAGTATAACTGATCGGGAAACTTCCCTCGGAGTACTTCTCGTTATGAATTCTAAACGAAATTATTTTTTTTTTGAATTTTCATCGTATTACCATACCTTTAAATGGCTGAATGATAAAGTCGAGGGGATACCTCGGCTTACGGCTACGTGGACAAAAAGTAAAGTAACATCCTATGTGTGTCCCACTACTGAGCATAGGCCTTTTATACAAGTACATATATCGGCAAACTTCACATATATTTTTATGATATGTATATTTTTTGTTATTATTTCGAAAGTATGCAGGTTTCCTCACGATGGTTCCTTCACCGTCGACAAGTGTACGTGGATGCAGTCGAAACTAAGCGTTACTGGAGTGTACCGTTCGTTCGTAATGACACACGTCCGTCGGCACGGCGTCTGTAATGAAATTGTTGTCCGGTCGTTTAGCCCGACGCTCGGCTGCAGCGGATTTCGACCGTAGACGGACGCGCGGATATATTGCCGCGGGCGCTTCATTATGCGCACAGGCGGACGCGATCTAGGCGCTGGCAACGCCCGTGCAATGTACGGAGCCGCAATAAGCGATGTGGTCACACGGGGAAATGGAAACAGAAATGATCAGTTTTCTTTCAAACTTTCTTTTTTTTTATTTTTATTTTTCATATTTTTCTTTTGTCTTACTGTTTTTTTTTTTTGTTTTATATTATTATTTTACTCGTACTTGTAACAATTATTAAGTTATCATACACTTATCGTCTTTTTAAACATGCTGTAACTACCTTTAAATGGAAACATGTAAGTCTTACTTACAACATGTTATTCCGTTGGTGGTTCTATCAATAAATAAATAAACTTTCACCTTTTGTTGTCAAAGACTAAAAAGAGTAGAAAGAAAGAATATCCGTAGGGTTTCCTTCGCCACTTTTGCTTTATGGGCTGGTCTCGCCTCTCTCGAGATGGACGGAAAACCAACGACTCTTAGTTTATTTTTTTTTAATTGCGAGCGAGCTGGCGGTTCAACTGCTGTTAAGTGATAACCGCCGTCAATGGACATTTGCAACACCCGTAGGGTTGCAGATGCATTAGGACTTTAATAAAGTGAGCTCTGGTTAGCTCACTCACCAACAAACGCAGAACTATAAACTTTCACTCCACGCCGGTCTTCTATGAGGTCGTGTTATTTACGGACCTGCCCATTCGTGCAACAGCGTAGACTGTTGCGTGGCCATACCACAGTTTACATTTATTCTCTTGGTGTTGACTTTGTGTGGTGACTGAAATAAGTGAATATCTAAAGTTTGGCAACATTCTGATGGTGCAGAGGTCTAGGACCGGCGGTGATCAGTTACCATCAGGTGAACCACATACTCGCTTGCCAGTTTCTGTTATAACTGAAAAATTTCATTAAATTACTCGTATACTTGCGCTGTATAAATTCTTGAACCCAGAGCTCGGTCTGAAGATTGTTAACCTTCTAATGTTGCAGAGTCAAGGAAAGGTGGTCATTTACCATCAGGTACTCCGTTTCCTTTGCCAGTTTCTTTTATATGAGAAAAGTTACAAAAAATGATGTTGGAACTAAGCTATATGGATCCGTGAGCCCAGAGCTGTCTCCTTGCGCTAAACGCGATAGCTCCTGCGTTTCTTCCGCCTGTACGTTGCGGTATTCGCAAAAATGTTCATTAACGGAGTCCGAGGTGTTGTTGAACAAGTAGCGGGAGTTGCATGCCGTTAATATCGTCCATCAGTTTTTTTTAACTGCCGGCTCAGCAGCGCCGGTCAGACTTCTAAAGGACTCCAGGATTATTGTATTTGTATTTTGTGTGGAAGGGGTTGGGTAGTAAGTCCCAACGACCAATGCTATCTAGAAAGATCTATTGTATTCTTCCCTTCGAAAACTTTGCCCCATTCCTGTAGGATAACATTATCCTTTGTCGTATGGACGTTTTTCATTCATAAATATCACGTGATCAAACACTCACGTCCGAAACGATTCTCTGTGGCTCACAAATAGTTGTCTCGTGTGGGAATCGAATCAGCGACCCCCAGCGCCCAAGCCGAACTTGGCGACGGCATCACGGAGTCATTGTTACAGGAGTATCGACTTCATGATACCGGTCAATCGCATTATAAAAAAACGTAAATTATCAACACATTTTCAGTGTGATCTAGAATTAAGAGTCTAGAACTAAAAATTTATAGTGTGATGTCGGGTTTGTCTGCTTCAAGTCTGTTTCAAGCGCTGATTTGTTCGCTCCGACCTCTTTGGTATCTTATGAGAACAATAAATAAATAAGCTTACATGATTTACATGTTTACGGGGTAAACGGATTGGTGACGCTATGCGTCAGACTCCTTATAAGACCTAGGTTTTGAGAGTACTGTAGTGTGGGTTACCTATGAAACTGTAGGTGCTTTATGCGACAGCTAAAATTCGCCGATAGTCTCTTTCCAAAAGTCGATATGCAACATTTATCGAGTACAATACTTGATCGTCACCGATGGCCCCTTCGGTAGGGTGCTAAGTTAGATTTTTCAAGCACTGTCAAATTACCTTAACATTTGAATTAGAAAGACATCCAATATAAACAACTATGCTTATCAAAACTATAGACGTAGGTTCAACTGATACCGGAACAGGTGGTTCACCTGATGTTAAGTGAATACCTCCGCCCGTGGACATCTGCTACACCCAAGAGTTTGCAAATGCGTTGACAACCTTTTGAAAATTGGGCTCCGGCTACCTTACTAACTAGACGAAACGCGAAAGTATTAGTCATTCTTCCACTTCACGCAGGTGTTCTGTGAGGTCGTGGTATTTACCCGCACGAGCCTGCCCTTACGTGCAACAGCCGAGGCGGCTGCGTGGCCCTACCACCGTTAAAGTTACACGCTTATAGTTACACATACTCAAGGTACTTGATTTTGACTCCCGGGCCAGCACCAATGAAACTGTTAATTGCAATTTCAAGTGTTGCCTTATGAGGTATTCAGCGATAAAGAATGTCATCCTTAGGAAACCCACATTTGTTGGGAAAAATAATAAAAAACGCATATTTCAAAGACATGTGAAGATTGTAAAGTCCATCAATAGCCGTAATGAGACGTGATATACTATGGCCTGATACTTTCTGTATAAGAGACCTTTAACTAGCAGATGCCTTGCTTTACCACTTATAATTAGAAATATGCTTGCCCCCGTAGTCTAAATCCTTCTAAGCGAAGGAAGCCCAACTGCAGTTTCGTTGCTAATATTTTCAATGCTACAGGCTCTGGAAATTAGGTCGGCTGCTAAAGTATTTTGTACAGTCAAAAAAGTGAAAATATACATTATGCGACATTACGAAATTAAACGCTAACATGTTATTTATATGCGATAATGCTTTTAAAAAAATCTGAAAACATTTTGGCACTTGTAAGCATTCCGTATAAAGCAAATACATAAAAAAGACTTCGAGAATAAAGACAACGGATCAAAGCTATTTCGACATTCCTAAAGAGACATACATATAACATCGCTACAACTGACTTTGATTCCCAATTGGTTACATGATAGAGAATGTAGCAGTCACAAAGTCTATAAGTTTTTCGATATCTGTGTCCATTAACCCTTTTATAAAAGTATTTGTCATGTATATTTATTTTATACTATCTACAGAGATTACAGTTTAACAAATAAGTTGAGAAATTCGACAATCAGTACTTGTAACCGTACATATCTTAATGATCCCACAATTCGTGTTTATCATTCTAATAGTGAACGTTTGTGTGGGCACTACGTACGATTGACTAATTTCGACTAGAAAACTGGCCCCCCTTAAATATTTTTTATTCTGTTTTTTTAATATTTGTTTTTATAGCGGCAACACAAATACAACATCTGTGAAAATTTCAATTGTCTAACTATCAAAGACCATTAGCTAGAATCTGGTGACAGACGAACAGACAGGCAGACAGAGAGACAGCGGAGTCTTAGTAATAGGGTCCCATTTTACCCTTTTGCTACGGAAGCCTAAAACTAGGTATACTAAAGCGATGTACGTGTCCCACGAACAAAAAAATCGTATAGTTTTCACGTTTACACAGTCCGATGTAGAGAACGCTCTTTATTAATATTTCGAGGAAAATTAACAATGACTGCCGCAAAGTTGAAAAGTTAAATGCATCGGAGTCTACCTGCTTCGTCTGCATACTTTGCTCGAATACCGAATGGAAATATCCATCGACAATAGAGTTGTGTTGAATACCGAATCTCGCTGCTTGAGCTAAAACAAGTCGATGCAGACGGAACAATGCTCACGAGCGAATGATGACTTCCCGTCCTTTTTAGGGTTCCGTACCCAGAGGGTGAAATGGGACCCTATTACTAAGACTGCGTTGAGTCTGTATGTCTGTCTATCCACCTGTGATCAGGCTGTATCTCATGAACCATAATAGTTGGAAAGTTGAAATTTTCACAGATGATGCGTTTATGTTGAGGCCGGAACAAAACATACTAAAAAACATATTTAAAGCGGGCACCCACACAACAGACATGATTTTTTGCCGTTTCCATAGATGACGGTACGGGACCCTTCGTGCGCGCTGCCGACTCGCACTTGGCCGGTTTTTAGCTTTTTCAGTGTTTTTCGCCCGCGAGTTTTGCCGCGCTTTTTCTAACAGACGTCCCGCGCCAGGGGAGAGATGCACCTCGCGTTACGTTAATTGCTTTTTCAAAACGCATTCCCGCGCGCAAGTTTTTTAATAAACGCCCGCACCGCCCGGGAATTGCGTAAACTCGCGGCCGCCGAGAATGTTATCCGTATGAGCACTTAAACGCTCAAACAATACGCTTACTCGCTTATTACAATGTCCGACGGCGTATCGTGACCGAGGTATAGCGTAGCCTTTTTTGTGATTTATACTCGTGTCAAGTTGAGCAATGCAATCGTGGCACGTCGCACGTTTTCCAACGACGCAAAGAACTTTTACACAGCGCCATCTGTTGTCGAATAGCTAAAGTTAAAGCAGTATAATTCGAAGAAAAATTTTTGATGCTTATAAGATTTCATAACAGTGAACTATTGAACATAACAAGATGCCACATATCACATTCTATGACAAGAGTGAGTGTCACTTTTTTGTAGCCACCTAGCGTTAAGTAGATGAAACTGCAACACTGATAAAATATTTAAACGGGCAGAAAGTTACTATGTTATTTCGATTGACGCGCCTGTTGGAAAATCAACCCAATTCATATGGTATATGACTCAGAGTGTATAATTTAGGGCCGCGAGAAATAACATCACTAAAATATTAAAGGCGGCAGCATCCCGGTGAGGTGAAATAGGTGTATCGTTCTTTGGCAATAAGAAATGAAGACGAGAATTTATTTTTATGCTCGGTTTAATTGCGATATTATACGCGTGTACATTTTTATGATCGCTTTGTCGATGGAACAACTTACATAGATTGAAGTTAAAGTCGTAACGATTGAAAAATCGCGGGGCCCACAGCGGAGATGATTGAAAAGAGGTTTTGTGGAAGTCAGTTCATCGCATCGTAATACAAACATGCAACTTTTGACGGAGTAAATTGTGTTTAAACTTAGAACACGACCGAGCGGGACGACTGTATGAACGCATACGTCTAATTATATACAGACAGAAAGAGACGGCCTGCGAGTCGATATACTAAGTTTTTAATGTGTGAAACAATAGTGACTTTTAGGAGCGGACACGGGGCGGCACAGTGTTTGGAAATCGGAGTAGTATTTAGCGATGTTGCGACACGCAGTCGCTGCTGGAAAACGGGCGCGTCTCGCATGTGTGCGAGAGGCGGGGAGGCACACGGCTTAGTGTGCGAGGGCAAGCGCGCTTGTGTGCGTCCGGAGAGGGTGATACGAACGCTGGGCTTGTACCGTTCGCATATTCAAGTCTGAACTGATCCACGATCTCAATTTAGTATCGCTTAAGTTTTTAATACTAAAATACACTAAACGCGTCTCCCGCTAAAAATGTTAATAAAAAAACAGGTCAGACATTTATTATTTTTTTCTATTAAAGGTATGCATACTATTTGGACGAAAATACATACGGGATTCATATAAGGTTGGTTATTGTGTAATTTCAAAAGAGAGATGAAGTATGCACCGATGAAAATTTCTCGTTGGCACCCAGCATCCGAGAGTGGGGCTGCTGACGGTACGACTAATCTCCACCACCCTCCCATAATAGGCCATCTCCTCGTTTCCATGGCGACCGGTCAAAATGGCGGACGCGCCCCCGCCGCACTCCGTGAGGGTATATAAGCGCTCCCCGGACCTCCAGCCGCCAGAGAGCCAGTACGCGTCGCCGCGAGTGCATGTCACTCGCGTTCCCTTTTAAGCCCGTCGCATCTCGCCACTCCATCTTGCACCCCGCCAGTACCCCTTTCCCCGACCGATATCCTGTTGATTTCATCAATAAACGCCCACCGTTATCGTTGCGTTATTCGTTTCATTTTATTTTTATTTATCCTCCTTCTCGTCTCTTCTCTTCTGCCTCGTCTGCTGCCGCTCCTGCTACCTGCCGGCTGCCGCAATGAAGGTAAGTGGCGAAGCGTCGAACCTCACAGTTCTCTTGCGTACCGACGAAGAAGCATCGCGGTTCGGAGGGCCCATTAGGTATTTTTAACACGTGCTCAAGAGAGGGTACCTATCGATTTCTGTGCAGATGCGAACCGGAGGTGTGTGGGGGAGGGGTAAAAATAACCACGCCGATCTCCAGCGTTCGTCCCGAAAGCGACCTTACGGTTTGCACTAAAGGTCGGCTTTCGAACGGCAGGTGGCCCGACTTGTGACCTTCGGGGTCTTTGGCCGGTGGAAATAATTAACGTGGGCCAGATTGAATAAGAGTTAGATAGGCGTTTCCTATTTACTTCATCTCTGTAGTCCGAAAACGGGTGGCGCGTCTCTATACTATTTAATACGATTAAAACTCACAAGCCGTATTATACTCAATGGCCTATCTGCTACGCCAGGCTCTACGAAACTACGGAGATAACGTAGAAGTCGCTACAGACACAATGCTACGAATCGCAGCGGCGGCTACGAAAGCGATATAGTTTAGTTACCCGTTTTTTAATATCGCATATTTTATTTTGTATCCACGATTTTAAAATTTTTGCGGGAATCCTTTTTGGGAGCGTTAGTTAGTTTACTATCCGAAATTAATTCAGTATGGACGTTTTCTTATAATAAAATTCAAAATCCGAAATCAATATTACAATGCTAATGAAAACGTTTGGAATACAATCCGCATGTAATTAGAACTTTAAAATTTAACTTGGTTGGAAAAAATAGTTCGCCGAAACGAAGATGGACGGATTAATTGTAAACAAGTAACGTTTGAAACCGAGAGTTGTTCTAGTTTTATGTGCAATTTTGCGAACAAAATTGGCAACTGCATTACTTTTAATAGGCTTTAGTTTGATTTTATGTTCGACTCCCGCATTCGAGCCCGATTTCTAATTCTTGTTAAATCAGTAAAACTCAGAGAGTTTGGGAGGCAACATTGCAGAACCTTTATAAACTAAATTATCCTACACCTAGAAAATATGAGATTGAATATTACTTACAAGTAGGCATTTGAATAAACGATATCAGTTTTTCTTTACTTGTTAAATTTAATCTTCATATAAGAAACTAACTCCTTGCGTACAGTAAGATTGTTCTGTAAGGAATATAACTAATGCAGGAATTAAGTCTTTAGTAATAATTGGATTATTAAATGCTGATTAAAAATCTTACACTTCAACATTTTAGTAACATAAAATATTCTATGTGCTTTCAGTTATAACTCGAAAAGTGCCTCTGCGAAAATTATTAAGAAAATTTTAAAATATTTCAAGTTTCAAGAAACGTAATCGTAAAAATATCACTCATCATCATTATACTTGTAAAACGTACGCCGTTAGAAAAAGAGGAACAAACTTCTTTATATCTCAAAATAAAAATAAATCACTCGTTCTAAATATATAAAAACATTACACAGGCATTAACATTAAACAATAGTTCAAGGAAAATTGTTCACAAAAACAGATGGCATGCTAAACACAAATTATTCACAAAAATAGATGACATACGATTTATGTTAAAGATAAACTTTTATTTCGTCAATTAATCTTAGTGACAAAAATCTTGTCACAAAGATTAATTGAATCAGTCAAAACAAAAGAAAACCAGACCTAACACTTTTAAAGAAATCCCAAATAAATTATTATATTATAAAGAGGTGCATAACAGTGGCACATCATTGTAAGAACTGGGGATTGAACCAGGGCCACCATGATCATAGGCGTTCCGAAATAACGCGCCTCCCAACTGATTAAATATCCCAACCATTAACTTATGTCAAATCAAATATGGTACCAATCAAAAAACCAACAATATCTTCGATACCCTTATCAATATGAGACCTGGGTAAAGGCCTATTCTAGCTTCCTCTTTTAAGTAAAGTAACAGCATAAACATGTCCCAGTGCTGGGCAAAGGCCTCCTCTGCATAGAGGTTATTGGAGTATAGGCCATGCGGCCCAACTGCGGACTTCGCATATCTTCGAAACATTTTTTTATTATTTCCAAAATATGCAGGTTTGTTATTCGATGCTCTCCTTCACCGCGGAGCACGTGATAAAACAGCACTTAAATTTAACAATTTCATTGGTGCCGGCACCAGGGATCAGGGAACTCAGGTTGCCCGAATATATTGAATTAAAAGCGATCACCCGGACAATCACGGCTTCAAAAACGGCCACGTAATTTGGAGGCCGGCAAATTGTTTGAGCCTAGAATTTAATGCACCTTACTTTAAACGTAAATCACCTTTTTATTCTCATAAAACAGGCACAACTCAAAAGTTCTGTTGGTCCAAAAGATTCATTTTGTAAACTTTAACCAGAAGCGACCCTCGGGGACGATTATTCAATTGATTAATAAAAGTATTGTATTAGTACCAGCAATTTGACAATACATAAAACTTGTAAAACTCTTGGTGACTGGAACTAATTCCTTATAAAAAAGATAATTGAATATTTCTTAATACTTCATTAATATATTCTTTTACTTGTATATTAAAAGCAAACTCTAGTCCTTCGTCGTTATGGACGTTATAAGAAAGAGATATCGAATGCTATTTTCTCCTTCCATTGTTATTTATTCTGTGATAATTCTGTATTCATCACTCGGGCTCAAACGCGATATATAAATATTATTTCTTTATTAATATAACTACGAATAATTAGAGCAAGCTCGCTTTGTCAACGCACCTAGCGTACAGACGTGAGTCAATTTTGAAGCATCCATGCTTATACAATTCAACTTTCGAATTTGCGAAGACCACTTCGAATTAAATAAGGCATTTTTTTTTTATAAATTACAATTTATTACTTCACTACTATCCGAGTTGTTGGTTATTAAGCATTTTCGGAATGGTCTATTCATACTCACTGCAAGGCGCTCAGGTTGTATTCGGGAAAACTGACGCTGTTATTTGACGAATTTGTTAATTGAAGGAAGAGAGCAGAAAAAGAAATTCTCTACCAATACAGAATTTCTTTTTCTGCTCTTATTATACGTTTTTTGTGATACAATTATGGATTAAAAAATCTAACCTTAATTTTCACGTAACCCATCAAATTTTTGTTTATTTTCATACTTGAGGTTGGTCATTATCTTTTGTCATATTATTTTGATATATTCTTTTGATACCGTATTAATCCACAAATTAATTCATTGGCCTTTAGTCCTTTCTCTGAAATTTATTTGATAACTATTTCTAGACTTTTGGATCGGTCTGGTTTTCAATTGTTAAACCTTCAGTTTAACAATTGAATTATTGTTTGGCAAATATTTTTTTTGGTTTTTAGATACTTTTTTTACTTTTTATTTACTGATAGACTGTTCACTAGGTGGCCTTAGGTGGAGGCGGCACAAAAAGTGAATAATGTCTTAAAGTGTTTGACTAAGTTTCTTGCGTTAACCCTACCCCCAAACACCGAGATCGGGAACAATTAGTGGGTCAAACAAATACTTTTCCCGTGTGGGAATCGACCCCAGTGCCCGCACCGAACCAATGCTTAACAACTGCGCCGCCGAGCCGTCGCGCACCGATATAATGCGATATATTAAAGCGATGCAGCTGCGGTCGCGTCGGATGATCGTTTATTACATTTATCAAAAGCCCCCGAAACGTCCGTCCACCGCATTTCGTAATTCGCTGAACACTATAGATACATACACACGCCCCGCAGCTGCACCAGCGCTGTATATGTGATACATTAAACTTTTATCTGCTGATGTAATAGTAATAACTAAAAAACCGACCAAGTACGATGGAGATACAGCCTGGTGACAGTTGAACAGACAGACGGTTAACGGTGGTAGGGCCACGCAGCAGCCTCGGCTGTTGCACGAATGGGCAGGCTCGTCCGGGTCACGACCTCACAGAAGACCGGCGTAAAGTGGAAGTATGACAAATACTTTCGCGTTTCGTCTGGTGAGTGAGGTAGCCGGAGCCCAATTTCCAAAAAGGTTGTCAACGCATCTGCAAACCCTCGGGTGTAGCAGATGTCTATGGGCGGTGGTATTCACTTAACATCAGGTGAACCATCTGCTCGTTTGGCAACTTTTCACATAAAAAAAAAAAAAGACAGCGACACAAAGAGACACAGACAGAAACAAAAAGAAAGAAAGACAGATTATAAATAAGGTCCCGCTACCCTTTGGGAACCCTAAAAATAGTAGGGAATAAAGGAACTCAGAAAAAACTCTTAAAAAGGCATTAAACTCGCTATATGGAGGTTATGTCTTAGTCGACTATACGTAGAACGACTATATGGCCAAATGGACTCTTTTTCTATTCGACGACGAATATTAATTAGAATAAAACATTTGCGCACTGTACTATTGAGCTGTGACTGTACGGTAGGATTTCTAATGTACGATCTCAGGGTTCTAACGCAGTCTTCTGGGTCTTACTAAAAGTTCTGCGTTTATGATTGATATGCATACAGTTATTCAATGTTATATACAAAGGTGCGATAGAGAATTTTCAACTTTCTGCGACTAAAAAACCCGACTTCAAACAGGAAACTAAAACATTGTTAATACCTATAACATTTGAGGATTGCCCTCGATTTCCCTGGTATGTCATCATCAGATCCGGGTTGTCTTAGTACAACCCTAGGGATATCTCCTTTCCAATAAAAGTGTGTATGTACTTATATACACGCGTTAGGAGTAATTCTTTGGCGTAACAAGATAAAAAATATTTTCAAAAATTTTATCTTTCGCCTTATTCTATGTTTGTAGAAAAAACGACACTAACAATAGAAAAAAGGTATTT